CCAGGTTAGCCATATTTAAAAATGGCCACAGCACTAGAAAACGGTGACTAAAAAAATAACTGTAGGGACTGGAGTGATCGCTCAGCAGCTAAGGTACAGAGTGCTCTGCAGAGGACCCACGTCTGGTTGCTAGCACTCACGTCAGACAGCTTGCAACTACAGATAAACTCTGATTCCAGGGTATATGATAACCTCTTCTGGAACTTCACTCATGTGTACATACCTATACAAAGACATGCACACAATTGCACATAAAATCTTTTCAAAATTAACATTAGCACCATACCATATATTTGAATTATTTTTACAAATTTATTAAAAACAAAGTCCTGGGTTGTGGTGGCACACGGCGAAGGCAGGCAGATCTCTGTGAGTTTGAGATCAGCCTGGTCTACAAAGTGAGTCCTAGAACAGCCAGAGATGTTACACAGAGAAACCCTGATTTGGAAATCCAAAACAAACAAACAATCAAACAAACAAAGCTTAATGTTGTGTTTTAGGGCCTAAAATACTTTAGCCCAGCTCCGTATCCTCTTAAGATCCTTTAATATACTGTTAATTGTGGAGTTATACAACATCCTAATGTGTTTTTTTAAGATTTATTTATTTATTATGTATACAATGGTCTGCCTGCATGTGTCCCTGCAGACAGAAGTTGGCACCAGATCTTATTACCAGTGGTTGTGAGCCACCATATGGTTTCTGGGAATTGAACTCAGGACCTCTGGAAGAGCAGTCAATGCTCTTAACCACTGAGCCATCTTTCCAGCCCTCAAACCCTAATGTTTTATGGCATTTACAAAACATTCTTCCCGACTACACTGAAAACAACAACAACAAAAAAACCTGTCATTATATCTTAAGCATTCCCACAATTCCCAAAAAAACCCTTAACAGTTTCAGTAGATTCATGGTGGTATAGCTCCATGTACTGCGGCAACATATCATAGTGGCAGGACCATGTGACAGAGGAAATTCATCTCATGTCACACAGGAAGAACAGAGAGAGGTTGGAGTGAGATGCAGACCAAGGATATGGCCAGCCACATACTCCTTCCATTGGGCCCGCCCTGCCTCTTACTTATTGTTTTTGCCTGTCTCTGCCTCTAGAGCGCTGGGACTAAAGGTGTGCACCACCACCTAAAGTATTATCATACTTTTTGGTATGCTAATATTAGGAATCTATTAGGTGATGAATCCATAGTTGAGAACCCTGATGACCTTAATCGTCACTGGAAACACTATCAGATACTCTCTGGGCATCTTAATGCAATCAGATTGAGAAATCACATTAACCACTACAATCCATTTTAGAATAAAACAATATAAGCTCCCTGTAATCTATAAATGTTCACAATAGAATTAAACCTTATCAGATTGCAAAGAATTAGGAAGAAGAAATTTTAAAAGAAAAAAGCCATGAATAATAATACATCACTGAGATGACTCACATGTTAGAATTGACTGAAATAAAATTTAAATTATTCCATAAAATGGCTGCAGTGCCACATGCCCTTGTCTCCCAGCACTTGGGAGGCAGAGCTCTGAGTTCCAGGCCAGCCTGGTCTGCATAGTGAGTTCCAGGACAGCCAGAGTGAGACTTTGTCTCAAAAAAAAAAATTACTCCAAAGACTTAGTGGAAACATAGTTATAATGAACAAATAGGATATATCAACACCTAAGTGAAACCTTTCTTTTGAAAAAAGAAATTTAAATAATAAAACATAGTATTTTAAGTGAAAAACTAATGAAATAGGCTTATGAGAAGATTTTACACTGTCAATCATCAAAGAGTCAATTTGAAGACAGACCAATAGGCATTTTCAGGTCTAATGACCAGAAAAAAAGTTGAGAGGAGATTCTATTACAATTCTTAATACTAAGTGATAATACAAATATATAATTAGAAGTCCTCAGAGCGTTTGAAAGTAGGGACATAATTGAACAGAAATTTGAGGCAAAAATGTTTAAAAATTTTCCACATTAGCAAACAATAAACTGATGGGTCAAGGAAACTCAGTGTATATAACATCTGACAAAAGATCCACACACAGTATACTATTATCTATAAATAACCGAGTGGGGAGAAAAATGAAAGCAACCAGCGGCAAGTGAGACATTGCCGATCAGTAAAAATAGTTAAAGTTTAATCTCATTGGAAATGAGACTAAAAGTCAATGGGAAGGTTTACAGAGCTGAAAGAAAAAAAAACCTGCTGGTCCAGTATAAATATTCTTCAAAACTGAAATTAAAACCAAGACAATAGCAACAGGACCGCACTGCTAGCAATGCTGAAGGGACCTGCAGAATTAAAATTGACTCACCATATGGAAACGAAACAGACACTCAGTCCACCCTATGTAATAAATTTAGTGGCTTAGCAAAATCATTTATTTCTCCCTACTTTATGTCTTGTCTGGACTTAGCTGAATGATCTTCTATTCTATGAGTTACTGGCTGGGGTCACTCAAGCGACTTTCTTCAGCTATGACTTGGGCTGAAAGAGCTTCATCCCATCGTCTGGTCGTTGTGGTGTGGTGGTTAAACTGATTGGAATAGACCTGTATCTCACTTAAATTACTCCCAGTCATGTATCTTAAACTTGTTGCCTGGAGTCCTCCTTCACAATAAAAGCCAGAAGTGCAAGGCTTCTTAAAGCCCAGGGCTAGAATGGCTATAGTACCACTTTCATCATATTTTCTTAGCCCAAACCACTACAGCTTGGTGCCTACAGGTAACTGTCACGTTAATGTTCAGTTTGAACTGGGAGTTTGTGTAGGGTTTAGCTTGCTTCTGCTACACCTGCTGAATTGGAACTATTCATGTGGTTGCTTTCCGCCAATAACTGCTCTACACTCTGAGAAGATCACTTTTTTTTTTAAAAAATATCTTCTCCACGTGTTTAGAATCAAGGCACTGAATGATGTCTGTGCTTTCTTTATGGTGCTCATATGCCAGGAGCTCTTTCTTCATCATCCTCTCTCTCCAGAAGGCTAGCCTGGGCTTCTTTAGATGGGGCCTCAGGTACCAAACGAGGAGGGGGACAGTGAAGCTGTGTCTTTAGAACAGTCTTTTCCCAAGTCTCAGTCTAGTGTAGGGTCCTAGTCCATGTATTTCAGAGAAGCTATGGTTGGATAAAAGTTTTCTCTACTCTGCCATACAACTTGGCTTTGTTTTTATGCTTTTATTTTTGTCACACTCTCTTTTCACCCATACTATTATGATGTAGTGTAGTTCATTTGTAAGGATGTTTTTTGATTGCTTGATTATGTGAATTTTTTTATATATACAGAAAGGTTTGTGGGAACAATATTTTCCAAGACGCCTGCAAAGCTTTTACAAAATGTAGTTATCAGCATTACTAAGATGCTCTGTTGGTGAAAAGCAACTGTGGGAATAGTTTCCTCTCCCTTGTGACATACATTCTTCTAGGCTGAAATCCAGAAAGCTTTTGTGCATGCTCCTTCTCAACACATTTCCATCCATGTACTGTGGGAAAGGGAAGTGGCATGTAAGGAATGTAAAGAAAATGGATTTCTCATTTCTAGCTCCTAATGTTAAGAGATGTTTGAAAACTATGACATCAGAACATCCCCAACCCCCCTCCTTATTTTTTTGAGATAGGGTTTCTCTGCGTACAGCCCTGGCAGTCCTGGAACCCCCTCTGAAGATCAGGCTGGTCTCAAACTCAGAGATCCACCTGCCTCTGCTTTCAAGTGTTGGGGTTAAAGGCATGCCCAATAGTTTCCATTTTTATGAGCATGAACAGAAAAATCAGTTGATTTATTTTGATGAACCATGCTTCCAGATGACAAGCTAATCACTGTCTTAATGTGTGTGACCATCCCTCCTTGGCCACTTCGTCATTTAGTTTATTTAGCTTTGCCTGTAGTTAAAAAAGTACAGGTTTAAAGGCCAGGCATGGCGGTGCATGCATTTAAACCCAGCACTTAGGAAACAGAGGCAGGCATAACTCTTAGGAATTCTACGAATCTCTATGAGTTCTAGGTCAGCCTTAACTGCAGTGAGTTCCAGAACAGCTAGGGCTATGTAGAGACTTGGTCTTAGAAAACCTAAAATAAAGCAAAACAAAGACAGCAACAACAAAAGCAACAAGCTGAAGGGCAAGGACTAATGACACAAAAACAATATGAAGAACCTCTCTCCAGTGCCTATGGCTACTGCGTATGGGTTATGAAGAAAACAAATAGAATAAAGTATCTGTAGCATTAAAAAAAAACCCTCTTATATACAAACTCTTTTTATAGACCCGTTAATTCCCATGATACTCAGATTCTATTCTCGAGCAGCAAATTCACAGCTTTGGAGGCTTCCATACCATCATTTATGCATTCTTAACTAAGAACAGTTTTTTTTCTTCCAATGACTCTAAGGTTGCCTCCATTTAGCTTTTACTCATGAATGCTTGCTCACATCTCCGATAATCTGTCCATTAACAGATCAGTCCTTCAGACAGTATTTTCCCACACATCTCTGGCCATTCTTCAGAATCATCTTCCCTAAGCTCTTCCCCTTTTCACACGGCCTAACAATTTCACTATCCACCTCCATAATTATATACGGCTGTCAGTGTCCCTCTTGAAAGCGAATTCCAGGCCGATCCCTAGAACAATCCACATCGATAAGAAAAAAAAATGTATTCTTGCTCAACTTGTTAAGGTAACAAATCCCTTAAATCGAATGCTAAAAATTTTAATAAAAATAGTTCTCAAAGCAGCAATCAGAATCGGCTACGTGCCCCCTCCTCACACTCAACTTTGCGACGGAAACCTTGGCTTCGCCAGCTGGCACAGACCAAGATGTAAACCCGGGCCAAACCATAGGGAACGCGGAAGCTAACATCCACCTCCGGGTCACGCTCTGAATCCTGGAGACGCTCTGCCGCTTTTTCCACGCGGCCACGCACGAGGGAGGGGCGGGGCTACTCATGCGCGCTCCCCGAACACTGGCAGGGCTCGTTCTGCTCAAGCTCACCGGAAGCGCTAGCTAACTCGACTTCCGGAGCGGGTTTTCTCTGGCAGTCGGTGGCGTGGGGACCGGCAAGCTCTGGAGCCATAGCCGAGCGCGGGGTCGGTGCGCCCTTCGTGCACAGTGGACTTGGAAGAGGCCTGTGAGTGTCCTGCGTCTCTCTTCTGCTATTTCCTGCTGACTTTCTGTAATCTTGGGTTCTGGGAACTGAGTTACAGGGACTGTGAAGTTTTGGTTACCGTGGCAACCGCCACCACGCCAGTTTGAGTCCCTGAGGAGTAGGGAAAGGGTTTGCGCGGGTTGATTTCACATTCAGTTGTTACTTCAAGCTTTTGCGCCGAACAGCTGAATTTGATTTTTGAAAGCTTAATCTGGATGGAAGGCAGAGAAGCAGAATTTGAGGCAGCTCTTGGGAGATGGCCCAGCAGGTAGTAGAGATTACTGTCAAGCCAGGTGAGGTCGATCCTTGGTGCAAGGACCCCTGTAAATTATCCACTGACCTCCACACGGGCGCGGTGGCCTACCCCGCGCTATAAACAACGTAGCATAAAAAAAGAAATCGTACCGGGCAGTGGTGGCACATGCCTTTAATCCTAGCATTTGGGAGGCAGAGGCAGGCTTGAACTCACAGTTCAAGGCCAGCCTGGTCTACAAGAGCTAGTTCCAGGACAGGCTCCAAAGCTACAGAGAAGCCCTGTCTCAAAGAAAAAAAAAATCGTTTGTCAACAGGCATAAGCCCCCGGTTCCATCTTCAGCACCGCAGAAAACAAACAAAAAGCGACGCCAATTGTATTAATTCTGGACAAATCTGAAGGTGTCCGGAACTAGGGTAGTGCTGTAGGATTGCAGAAAGGAGGGAAATTTCGTGGAATTCTAAATCGTAGTATCTTCATCGTAAAGCTTCAATACTCGATAGGTTGGCAGAACAGGGGTCTTGAGCATCCTGACAGTTATCTTCAAGCTCAGTGGCCTGTGGCTGCGTTTGTAGAGTCATTTATTTGCCATGGCCCCTGCCCACCTCCTAGTCATTTTTGTTACAGCAGCTGGTCTGTGCTCCGCATTTCCTAGACGCTTGTCTTCTTTTGGTCAAGTTGCGTCCTTTGTCTAGGTCCTACCGTTTTCATTCCTAACGTGGAAGAAAATTAGGTTGCTTCTGTGATTAAATTAGATAATTTTAGGCTAAGTATGTAGTTAAGTCCCGGTAAATACCGGCTACTGCTATTATTGTACTTGTTATATTGTGTTGTTAGGTATTCTTCAATTTGTTTCTGTAGCTTTAGATTTTTACTTTGTACTTAAGGGTTGTCTAATTTGTGTGTGTGCGTGATGCATAGTTTAACAGTATCCTTTATCTTTTTATGGATTAAAAATTATGTGTATTAGTATTGACTGCATGTATATGCACAATGTATGTTCCTGTTGAGGTCATTGGGTGGCCTGGGTTCGTGAAGATTCTGAGCTCTTACATGGGTGCTGGGCACTGAGCACAGGTCCTCTGTAGTCCCAGTCTTCTCTTTTGAAAAGTGAAACTTTAGCTTGGACTGTTGCTGACTTAAACAGATTCAACTTTTACTTTAAAAGAACTGTGAGGTACAATGGGTTCTGCTGCAGGTGATATTTATTAGAAGAAAAGATGGCTACTCTTCTGTTCCATTCAGTTGCCTGTGGATTAACATGTACTGAAGCTAACTGATACTCTCAATTTGGAATAAATATGAGCAAATTCCGTGATGAATTGACAAGACTTGCTGTGGCAGAGCGTGACAAGAGAGAAGGTTCTGTGTTGTCGAATCCTGGAATGCATTTCCCATGGCTTCAGGAGCGCATAGAAACTGTTGGTAAGTGAGCCAACATCGAAGTCTTTCTCATTCCAGGAAGTGCCGAGATTGCACACAGATACAAAATGAATAACCGAGCTAGTTCATTCTTCCTCCCTCCCCTCTTATTTTATTTTATTTGTTGTTATTGTTTAGACAGGGTCTTGCTATTTATCCCTGACTGACCTGGAACACACTTAATGTAGCTTAGGCTGGTTTTGAACTCATGGTTGTTCCCTTGCCTTAGCCTCCAAGTTCTGGAATTACAGGTGTGAACCATGATGCTTGATTATCTTTCTAAGATTAGATGGGATGTTTTCCTTTTCTTGCTTACAGCTGTAGACAAAAAGGAAATGATAAGAAATCAGGTATTTTTTTAGATTTTTTTTGCATTTAAGCTATAGTATGATAGATGTGTATTTATTTTTAGATTTTTAGTTCTCTTTACCGAGCACTTATATCTTTGGTGTTGGCAGAATATTGGTCTCACATTGAGGAGCACATACACAGGAAATGTTAAGGAAATTTCTGTTGATTCAATGAAAAAAATTCCTTATAGAATTGATGTAATAGGTTTAAAATGCAGCCATTTTTCCATTTTTAATCTAATGTAGATGTAGACAAGGTTTTCAATAGGTTAACTTCTTTTAGACCATATAAAGAATCAGCGATCCGTATGCTGCTGTGTGCAGACCTTTAAATACACTTACACCAGCACTTTTCCTACTGCTCTCGATGCTTTCCTTGGCTCCTAGAATTTGGCTCCCATTTAAAAAGAAGAATTCACTTAATATATTCCCAGTAAGTTAGTCATGTGTGTTAGTCTCAGTAAATGTGTGCACTGGCATTTTTTTGAGGACACTGAATTGCAAAGAAGTTAAACCCTTAGGTAATGATACAAGGGAGCAAGTCAGGTCTGTCTAATCTCAAATCCTGTGCTTTTAACAATAAAGAAGTCGATGGAGCTTGGCCTGAGAGCAGTCTTCCATTAGGTGACCAAAGGCTGTTTGAACAGATATTTTGCCAGTTTTGTGGGCCAGGTGCCTGGGATTGTTGTGGTCTAAGCAGCTTGTGTAGTTCTTTTTGGATGCAGTGTCTGCTTCAGAGGCTGGCCCAGGCTTGGTAGGCTCCATTTCTGATCAGCTTCCATAGCTGCAGTACTGCTAGCTTCAGGACCACGTGAGTGTTAAGGCTGAGGATCCTGGGTGTTTAGAACATGCACTAAGTGGTCTGGGAAGTACCTGGTCCATGCTGTAGGCTTCTTCCCCCTCCAGCCCTCCTCTAGACAGGGTCTTGCTGATCAGCCTTGATTAGCCTGGAACTGGCTACGCAGACCAGGTTGGCCTCAAACTTGCAGTGATACTCCTGTCTTGGTCTTGTGATTGATGGCACCACCATGCCCTGCTGAGAGTCTGTGATTGTTCTGTGTACTGTCTTGCAGTACTTATTAAACTGTCTTGACAGTTTTATGGTGTTGTATAAATTGTTTTCTAAGTTCAATAGTTGCAAGTGAAAAATTTTCAGCACATGATGGATTTTTAAAATGGAATTATTTTACTTTTAAAGTAGATCTGGTGGAATCTAAATCATAGACATGTAATATATTCTGTTACCATTTTTCAAATGATGAATAAAAAAGCTAGTTGGTGGGAGTTTTAGAATATTGATTTTTCTTTGCAGAAAGTATACATCACTGATATATATGTGTGTGTTGTGTGTGTGTGTCATATATTGCAAGTATTAGAGTTTCTTTTGAGTTGAGACATTGTAATTATTGGTTGTAGATAATTGATCAAAATAACAAAAGCTTTGTTGAGATTGTTGGGACGTAACTATTAGAGTAAATTTATTTATTCATTCATTCACTCATTCACTTTGGTTTTTCGAGACAGGATTTCTCTGTAGCTTTGGAGCCTGTCCTGGAACTAGCTCTTGTAGACCAGGCTGGCCTCGAACTCACAGAGATCCGCCTGTCTCTGCCTCCTGAGTGTTGGAATTAAAGGTATGTGCCATCACTGCCTTGCTTAGAGTAAATTTTAATTTGTATTTTATCTCCACAAAATAGATAAGGTTATCACGTTTTCCTCATTGCTTTGTAAATCCATGGGTAATTTTTATATATTTATCCCCCTTCCCGTGCATGAATACTTGATTTTTGAGTCTTGCTATAGCCCAGGCAGACCCCAGACTCAGTTTTCTAGCCATGATGGCATTACAGGTGTGTGCTACACAGCTTGACTGTTGTGTGTTTTTATTTTCCTATGGAGGGAACATTTAACATCAGTTCTGTTTGTTTCAGTTTCTGTAAGTCAGTTTGGAGGGACGGTGAGTCACACGAGGAGGTGAATGGTGGTGAAATTTAAGCAGTGTGTCTGAGGTTACATGATGATCTCTTAAGAGTTGCTAGTGTCAAGCCGGGTGGTGGTGGCGCACTCCTTTAATCCCCGTGCTCAGGAGGCAGAGGCAGGCGGATCTCTCAGTTTCTTTGACAGCCTGGTCTCCAGAGCGAGTTCCAGGACAGGCTCCAAACCTACAAAGAAACCCTGTCTCAAAAAAACAAACAAAAAAAGTTACTAGTGTCAGAGCAGGGTACGGTGGCACACGCCTTTACTCCTGCCTTGTTAAGTTCTTGAGTTTCTAGGTAAGCTGGTTTCAGACTGAATGGAGAGTGGTGACTCCTTGTGTGAGATCTGCCCAGGGTTACTTGTCAGCATTCTGTCACAGGTCAGGAGACCGCTAAAACTGATGCTGTGTGATGTCAGGGTTTAAGTCAGGGGGCTTGACCCTGGGGTAGCTGGGTTAGTAGTACTTGCTGCCCTTGTTAAAGCTTGTGTTGACTGAGTTTTGAATAGCTGAGCTGGTGTCGGCTGTCTTTGTTACAGTGACCGGAGGGAAGAAGAAGAGGGATTTTACTCAGACAACAAGTGTTTGTTTAAGCTTCATCCAAGAAGCCCTGCTGAAGCACCGGTGGCAGCAAGCTGCAGACTATATGCACAGCTACTTACAGACCCTGGAAGACTCAGACACCTTCAAGAGACAGGCCGCCCCTGAGGTAGACAGAGTGGGAGTCTGCAGGCGGCACAGTGTCTGCTGGGAGTTGCGCTTCTAGCTCTCCCCACAGTAGCCCTTTGTCTCCCCTGCCCTGCTTCCTGGGTGCTGACGTGACAGGCGTGCCCCCTCCACGCCTGATTGTGACTTTCCTTTGTTAGTGTCCCGCTGCATGGAATGCCACATTGTATGCATCCGTCCATCAGTGTTTTCTTTCAGCATTCATGTATGTGCTTTTGCATGGTGCTTACTATAATTTCTCTTTGGTATATACTGAAGAGTGGAATTGTAGATTTTATGATAATGCTATTCTTAATCTCTTAAGGTTTTACCAAACTCCATACCAAAGTGACTTTTCCACTTTATATTTCTCCAACAATATTTAATGTTTTAATTTTTTCACATCCTTATTGATCATTCATTCATTCCTTCATTCATCCACTTATTTATTTATGGAGAAAGTCTTGATCTGGATACCATGCTGTTCAGACTCAGGTTTACACAGTCCTTTGTCCAAACCTCTTGGGGCTGGTAGGCACGGGTGACCATGCCTGTCTTTTTTTTTTTTGATACTTTGAGTTGCGAGTTAGAATTTGCTCGTGCTATGATTTGCATTTCCCTATTGACTAACAATGCAGACGGGGCTTCTCTAAACCCTGGTTGAGAGCACTAATGGTTTTCTGTTTCCTGGCACACCAGCCATGGTCCTCTAATTGCTGTGAACTTCTTAGGAAGTCACCCTCTTCTGGTCTGCCTGTCTGACCCCATCTCTTTAACTAGGATTTTCTTCTCTAGCCTCATTGCCCTTAAGTTTTAATGGAACAGGTCTTTCTTCAGCTCTTGCCACCTCCTCAAGGCCTCCTTTAGGCCTCCACGCTCATGCCCAGCACTCCCAATGTCCTGCTGTGGAGGTGCACACCTGTAACCCCAGCAGGGGGAGGCAGAGGCAGAGGCAACCTTTTCTTGTTTTTAAGATGCCTGATTTTTAAAAATTTTTTTTATCATTGTTATTTTTTGATAGTTTATTTAACTTTATTTTATGTGCATTGGTGTGAAGGTGTCAGGGCTCCTGGAACTGAAGTTACAGACAGTTGTGAGCTGCTTTGTGGGTCCTGGGAATTGAACCTAGGTCTTCTGGAAGAGCAGCCTGTGCTCTTATCTGCTGAGCCATCTCTCCAGCCCCAAGACACCTGGTTTTATTTATCTACTTTAGGTTGAAAGGGAGTAGGCATTAGCTCAAGACAGAGATCAAGTTCTGTCACCAAAATATACCTGAGAACATGTATTTCTTTAAAATTTGTCTTTTCTCACAAATGTTCTTAGATTGACATCCTTAGTGCGTAGCACATATACTCAATGTGGATGAAGGTTCAGGGGATGCAGACATGTGTGCTGTCTGCGCTTGGAGGGTTGGAGGTGAGATTTCAGGGGTGAGGACATGTGTACTGTCTGTGCTTGGAGGGTTGGAGGTGAGATTTTAGGGGTGAGGACATGTGTGCTGTCTGCGCTTGGAGGGTTGGAGGTGAGATTTTAGGGGTGAGGACATGCCTACTGTCTGCACTTGGAGGGCTGAATGTAAAAGGAGCGCGGGCTGTGTCCCGCCACCTGGCTCCCGGCTAGCTTTTTCCGAAATAATTACACGGAAACTGTATTCTTTTAAACACTGCTTGGCCCATTAGTTTCAGCCTCTTAATGGCTAACTCTCACATCTTGATTAACCCATTTCTAATAATCTGTGTAGCACCACGAGGTGGTGGCTTACTGGGAGGATTCTAACCTGCGGCTGTCTCAGAGAGGAGAGTCGTGGTGACTACCTCAGTTCCCTTCTTCCCAGCATTCTGTTCTGTCTATTCCACCCACCTACGTTCTGACCTATCAGGCCAAGCAGTTTCTTTATTAATTAGCCAATGAAAGCAACAGAAATGCAGAAGACTCTCCTACATCAGTTGAAGGTGAGATTGAGCCCTGTAGGAACCCGTTTTCTGACTTACCATTTATACTGATTTTTAAGCTTATACTTAATATGCATCTTAATGGTGTCTTTTTTTTTAAAGACAGGGTTTCTCTGTAGTTTTTGAGCCTGTCTTGGAACTAGTGCTAGTAGACCAGGCTGGCCTTGAACTCACAGAGATCCTTCTGCTCCTGCCTCCTGAGAAGGCTGAGATTAGAGGCAGGTGCCTTTTAAAGAGTACTAAGTTAATGATGACACTGTTGTTCTTACCTGGTGTAACGGTTTGAATGAGAATGCCCCATAGGCTCTGGCATTTGAATACTGGTTCCTGCTGGTGGCGCTGTTTGGGGGTGGGGTTAGGAGGTACAGGCCTGCTGGAAGAAGTCAGTCTGTCACCAGAGGTGACTTTCAGAATTTAAGACCACACTATTTTTAGTTTGCTCTCTGCTCCAGCCTTGCTGTTCAAGATGTGAGCTTGCTCTTGCCGCCATGCCTTAGTACTGCCCTCTTAGAAGAACCCTCTGGATCCTGAGCCTAAGTACACTCTTCCTTCAGTTGCTGTGGTCATGTGTTTGGTCACAGCAGCAGACATGTCACCAGTACACCAGCATTTTGGGATGCAGTGATTGCCACCTAGTAAGAGTGCTGCTCTACTCGGTGAGGTGTAGGAAAGTCCAGCAGTGGTGGTTCCGTGGAGAGGGAAAGTTGCTTCTACATGTTATAATCAGGAAAAAAAAACCCAAAATTTTGTAGGAAGAAATTGGATGAGTAAGGATTTATAATTTTACTCTTAATTTCTGCTTTGATAGATTATTTGGAAGCTTGGAAGTGAAATTCTATTTTATCACCCTAAAAGTAATGTGGAGACTTTTAATAACTTTGCTGACCGGATGAAAAATATTGGCGTCTTGAACTATTTAAAGGTAAGAACGTAGACTTGTAAATTTGTATTTTCAGTGTGTGTTTGTTTTAATTGCCTGTATCAGTGCTGAGCGAGAAAATCATGGAAAATAGATGAGACCTGTGGGTAAAGAAGCTGGAAGAGCGAGCACTCCTGTGCAATCACTTGGTTTCCAGCCACCTTCCGTGTGGTCTGATTGGAGCCCTGCTGTCTGTCTCTGGCTGTCAACCACCTTCCGTGTGATCTGATTGGAGCCCTGCTGTCTGTCTCTGGCTGTCAACCACCTTCCGTGTGGTCTGATTGGAGCCCTGCTGTCTGTCTCTGGCTGTCAAGCCCAGGCCTTCAGAGATAAAACTGGACCTCACTGTGGACACAGCCAGTTCCCATCTGTTTGCTGAACTTTCTTGAGCCGAGCTGGCATTTTGAGAAAAAGACAAATTGAACAAAAAAGTAGGAACTTGAACATGTTCAAATGCTGCAACATTCCTGCTGTGTGGATACCTTTTCTCCGAAGTCCTGTCTTTAATAATAGTTTTGTTTTTTTTTTTTTTGCAAAAGGGACTGAGACCACACTACAGTATTATAGCCCCTAACTAAAAGCATCATTCTTTAGTAATTTTCTAAATAATTTGTTATTTTTTTCAAGACTATAAAGTTGTATTAGGACTTGGTCACAAGTTGAGTAAATGTGACAGAAACCGTACAACTTGCAGAGCATAAACATGGATTCCTGGCTCTCTCTTGGTTCTGTTTTTACTTACTCAATTTTCTAATTGTGTGTGTGTGTGTGTGTGTGTGTGTGTGTAAGTGTGTAAGTCTGGAGGTCTGATGTTGACACTAGGAGTCTTTTTGAATTTCCGCCTTAACCTATTGAGGCAGGGTTTCTTACTGACCCAGAGCTCCCTGGTTCTGCCCAGCTAATCTATCTAGTAAGTTTGCTCTGGGATCCTGTATCTACCTCTTGTGCACTGGGGTGATAGGCAGGCTGCTATGTCCTCCCAGCTTGACCTGTGGATTCTGGGGACCCAGACTCTGGTCTGCATGCATTCTCAGCAGAGTTTATCCACTCAATCACCTTCCTAGTCCCTTTGTTTGTTTGCTTGTGTTTTTCTTTTCTTTTCTTTTTTTTTTTTTTTTTTGAGACAGTGCCTTGCTATGTAGCCCAGGCTGGTCTCCAGCTCACAGTCCTACCTCAGCCTGCCTGGTGCTGGGATTATAGATGAGTGCCACCACACCCAGCTCTATGGGTATTTTTGCTTTTGTTTCCGGGATGCCCTTTCCCTCCTAAACTAAAAAATCCATTCTTGAGCACTCCTTGGCAGGATGTTTTCTGTGAGCATATTTGACATGTATGAAGTTGTTGACATGTTGTCTACTGTAGGTCAAGCAGACATAAGATTATGTCATTTAATCTTGGGTTACCTCTTCTGAAGGTTATTGATGACAGGTGAAGGAAGTGTCGAGTGACTGACAGTTCAGGCTTCGATGCCCATTTTCCTTACTGTGTTGCACTATATTCTGTTACTCTCAGTTATGTAGTGTTAGTTGTTTCTCATGTCTGTCTAAATATAGATGACAGGTATGGACTGTACCACTGTCTGAGCTTTCACCTTTTTTCTTTCTTTTCTTTTCTTCCTTTTTTCTGAGGCAGGGTGTCTCTGTGTAGACCAGGCTGTCCTCAAACTCACAGAGATCCACCTGCCTCTGTCTCCCAAGTGTTGTAATTAAAGGCGTGTGCTACCACCGCCACGTTGAGCTTTCCCTTTTGTGTGGGGTCCTACTGCATAGTTTTCATAGGACTAGGCCAGCACGTGTTAAATCTCCTGAGTTTTTGACTAAGAGTTCTGACTTCAGCGACTGAGTCTTTCTCATTGGTGCAGATCTCCTTACAACATGCGTTGTATCTTTTACATCATGGAATGCTTGAGGATGCAAACAGAAACCTCACTGATGCAGAGGCATGGCGGTATGGTGAAAAGTCGTCCTCTCAGGAAGTGCTGATCAACCTTGTTCAGGCCTACAAAGGGCTTTTACAGTACTACACGTGGTCCAAGAAGAAGAAGGAGCTGTCAGAGCTTGGTGAGTCGGCACAGTCAGCTTTCTTGTGGTGGCGGACAGCTGCACAGCACAGCTCATAGACCTGCGAGCTAGTCCAGATGGATGGAAGAACCCTTGCTCTTGGAGAATGAGGCTGTCTTGAGTTTGAGGTCAGGGTGGGTTTTATCAAAGTGTTCTGTCTCAAAAATTCAAGCAAGCAAATGACAATCATTTTTTTTTTTTTTTTTTTGAGACAGGGTCTCTGTGTAGCCTTGACTGTCTGGAATTCACCATGTTACCAGGCTAGTTTTGGAACTCACAGAGATCCTTCTGCTTCAACCTCCCAGGTGCTCCACCGTGCTCCATCACATAATCTATTTTTATGTATAAGTTTTATATCCTGCAATCTTAATGAATTGTTAATGCTTATAAAGTTTTTAAAAATTAAATTTTATGTATATTATCTGCATGTATGCCTGCACCACATACATTTCTTCTGGTGATTGCAGAGGCCAGGAGAGGGCATCAGATCCCCAGGGACTAGGTTTATAAATGATTGCCAGCAACATGTGGGTGCTAGGAATGAAAGCCTGGTTCTGTAAGAGCAGTTAGTGCCTGCTGCCACTGAGCTGGCTCCACCCACCTAGCTCTCAGGCTTTTAGTGGAGTTTTCTGAGACTTTCTGTGTACCAGGATCGTGTTACCTGAATGGAGATAAGTTTTGTCCTTTTCAGTCCAGGCGTCATTGTGTTTCCTGCTTCATTGCCCTGATGGAAGCCTAGGATCGCCAACAGAAGTCATGAGAGAGGATGCCTTGCCTTTTCTCAGATTTTGGCAACTCTGTTAGCGATTTCATTACATTTTAAAAAAATTTAAAAAATTGAGATTGAGTCCTATTCCTAGATTGGTGGCTGTTTTTATAACACAGAGAACTACTGAACACTGTAATGTCTTTTTCTGCCTCTGCTGAGATGACGGCAGTGGTTTGGTTTAGAGGGAGGATCTTCATTGTTTGCACTAGTTGATAGTCAGCTCTTAGCTGACCTTGGGTGTGGTGTATAATTGCTTTTTAGAGGTGACTAGACTGTGTGCCAATGCCCTGTTGTGGAGTTGGGCATTCCATAAAAGGTACCAGTTCTCTTTGCGCTTGTTAGAGTTTACCAGCGTCCACCCAGACTTGAGCTTTGCTTACGGCTTCTCTAAATGAGTGAGCAAATTTCTTACGTTTGAGCAGATGAGGATGATTATGCTTACACTGCAAAATCTCAAAACATGCTCAGCCAGAGCTGCAAGACGTCTGCAAGTATTTCTGCCCTGCTCAAAACTCCCGGAGTTTGGGACCCTTTCGTGAAGAGTTATGTGGAGGTAAGTAAGTCACTTGTTGTAGGTCAGGGTGGTGATGCTGAGGCAGGGGTGTTGCCAGTGTGAGGCCCGCTCTAGGTATATATGAATACTAATTTGCTATGTAAGGTAGTCTCATTTAGTTTACCCCGGCTGACTTTTTAATGGTTTGAATGTGAGATGTGCTATAAAGACTAATGTACTTGAATGCTTGATGGTCACCAGCTTTGTGAGATTGGAACTGTGTGTGGTCGGGCCTGTCTGGAGGAAGTGGACACTAGGAGCATCCTGCTTCCGTCCTGCTCCTAGCACTGTCATGTGATAGCACTGCAGCTTCCATAGAGTAAGCCTTCAGTCTTGACGGACTCTAACCCTCTGAACTCTACATCCAGATAAAGCTTTCCTCCTCCCCTCTTGACCCCCTCACCCAAAAAAGAAAAAAAGAAAAACAGGGTTTCTCCGTGTGGGCCTGGCTGTCCTGAAACTCTCTGTAGATCAGTCTGGCGTTAAACTCAGAAATCCGCCCACCTCAGCCTTTGAGTGCTGGGATTAAAGGCGTGTGCCACCGCCACCTGGCTAAATCCTTCTTTTTCCTAGTTGTTTCTGTGAAATTTTTGGTGGGATTGATGAGAAAAGTAGATATACCTGTCATGGCCAGATATTTATGTGCAATAGTGATGTAATTGTGATTGGCAAGTCTGCATTTTTATTGTTGAACATACTGCAAAAACAGGATAATTCTAAAGATTTGGTGACATGTAGAAGGGAGGTGGGAAAACTCTAAACCAGAATCACAGCATGGGGCCGAGGAACACAGCGGCTTTTAGAAAGCTTATAAAGCTACCCCAGTGTCTTAGAGTCCTTGCAGAAGAACCGAGGATTTGGGTGCTGCTTGGTACTAAAGAGACCGTTTTGCTTCCAAAAGATAATCTAGTTCCTCTGTGAATCGCTTCAGAGGAAGGTAGGCGCTGTGGTTAGCACGGGCTCCTTCAGCCTGAAGTTAGGGCGCTGAGGTCTCTGACTTACACCTGGTCATTAGTGGTCTCTACTTTGGGGACTTGGATTTCTTGTAAGGACAGTTCTTACACTGCATGGGGGGGGGTGTCTACATTTTCTAGAAACAAATTTAAGGTAAGAATGAGCCCTCATGTAGACCTTTGATCGTGTTTGTAGAAGTTGTAGGGAGCTAGAAAAGCAGAATTGGTGTTGCTGTTGTCATGTGTGATTTCTTTTTTATTGTTGCTGCTGCTGTCCTTAGCAGTAACTTTGTATCTTCTTTCTGTGGAGTTATTTTACAGAATTGATGTAAGACATACTTTATTTTATACAGATGTTAGAATTCTATGGTGATCAAGATGGAGCCCGAGAAATACTCACCAATTATGCGTATGATGAAAAGTTTCCCTCAAACCCCAATGCCCACATCTACTTATATGAATTTCTGAAGAGAGAGAAGGCACCAAGAGCGAAACTGATAAGTGTTCTTAAGGTATAGAAAATTTCCCAGTGTTTGAATAGAAAGCCATTCCTTATATTATGGCAGCCATAGAAAATGACACCAGGCTGGGGATGTAGCTCATTGGTAGAGCACTGGACTAGCATATGCAAGGCCCTGGGTTTGATGCCCAGCACCATAAGACAAAACAACAAAGTGTAAACAGTAATGTATGAATGGTGTTCTTTGGTCAGTAGAGAACGCTGCTCCCTGTGTGCTTTAGGAAGAAACTCCAGCTCCTGAGGAGAAAGGCTCTGCACTCTGCTTGCAAATACTGCAGTGATATTTTTGGAAAATAACCGTATTGACATTTCATTGACATACTTTAAGAGCAATCATTTTCCTGCGTAGTTGTGCTTTGACGAGTCTTTGCATTCACAGAGCTGCCGTGAAAGTGACGCTGAGGAGTACTTCTGCAGGGCTCAGGATTCCTCGTCTAACCCCCAATAAATAGCCGCTCACATGCCCCTGTGCCAGGCAGCCATTGTTGATTTATTTTAAACCTCTTTTGAAATTTTTTATAAATGCAATCCTATAGCTTTTACCTTATTTTTTATCTGGCTTCTCTGGCTTAGCATATTTTTAGTTTTTTCCATGCTGTGTGTGCATGTGCACATGTGTGTGCATGGGTGTAGAGGTCAGAGTTGGTGTTGTGTCGGCCTGTTGCTCTCCACTTTAGTTTTACAGTTGCTATTAGCCAGCAGGCAGAGCAGTAAGCATCTTTTGAGGCGGGGTCCTCACTGAACCCAGCACTCCTCATTGGCTAACTTGACTGGCCACTGAGCTCCAGGGATCCGCCCTACCACGTTTATAGGCGTGCACTGTCTTTCCATGTGAGTTCTAGGGATCTGAGCTCACAGACTCATGCTTGTGGGGCAGGGGCTTTATTGACTGTGCTTTAGTCATTGCTTAAGTTTCTTGATGGATGAGGAGACACATGTGAACACACACGGTTGGTAGTGCTGGGCGTGAGCCCAGGACATTACGTCTCCTGGGCAAGCTCTGTTTCCCTGATCTGCAGTCCCAGTCCTTATTAGCATTCTCTAGCTTTCAGGAGTAACGCCGCTAAGACATCCGTGAGTCTGCGTTTCCTTGGGTAGCTAACTACCTAACAATGTGTTTGCTAAGTGAGGAGAGTCTGTGCTTCTTAAGGAACTATGCTATTGGCATTACTACCATCTGTGAGTAAAAGTCCAGTCTGTATCTCACCTGCCTCCATCCTGAAGACTCCATCATGGCCACTGCAGTGGCTGCATTCGGGTTTCATGGTGACTTTGATTTGCTGTCCCTGACGACTGGTTCTTTGGGGGGGTGGGTATGCTGTTTCCTTGTGTTTATTAGCTATTTTGTCTGTTTCTTGGGGGATGCTTTTATACCAACTGGAGAGCTTTTATGCGGTTTAGATACAATTCCTTTGTTAGATATGGATTTGTTAAATTGTTTCTCTGTGGCTCTTTGCTTGCCTATGTTTTCTTTTTAGTCTTCTTGGTGCTGGGGATTGAACTAAGTTCCTTCAATATTCCGAGTTCCACTGTAACACTGTGAGCATGGTATGTGTCTTAGTTTGGGACACCATGACCACGGCAACTCTTTTAATTGGAGTGGCTTGCTTAAAGTTTCAGAGGTTAAGTCTCTTATGAAGGGGAGCATGGTGGCCTGCAGGCAGATGTGCTAGAGTATCTGAGAGTTCTGCTTCTTACAGGTGGCAGGAAATGGAAAGTTACTTGAGCAAAAGAGACCTCAAAGCCCGCCCCCACAGAGACACACTTCCTCTAGCAAGGCCACACCTCCTAATAGTGCCATTCCCCCTGGGGACCATTTTCTTTCAAATCACCACAGTATGTTTCTATTTAGGCCTCTCTGGATCGCATGTATCATATACGGTTATAATATGCATAATATTCCATGTTATATTTCTGTTCAGGTCTCTGGATCACATGTATCATATGCAGTTCTGATACGCATAATATTACATGTTACATTCCTGTTTAGGCCTCTCTGTATCACATCTATCATACAGTTTTAATAGATATAATATTGCATGTTACGTTCCTGTTCAGACTTCTCTGGATCATACAGTTATATCGTACAGTTATAGTAGACATAATATTACATGTTATATTTCTTAGCAGTGTCCTTGAAACAGAAATCCCAACAGTGTCCAAATTTCACAGTTTTTCTTTTATGGCTTAGTGCATTTTATCTTAGAAATTTTTGGCTTTCCAAACTGATGAAGATTCTCTTTTATGTTTCATTTTTCTAGATGTGCTGAATGGTTTTATGCTAAAAGTCTATGATGGGCTATTGTTTGTGTGCTGTGAGGTATGAGAGTCAAGGTTATCTTCCCCCTACTTGGCTGGTCTAACACTAACTGAAGACTGGTCTTTTCTCCATTGGGAGCTTTGTTTGAGATCAGTTGACCCTGGTGGTATATATTTCCGTCATGTACCAGTAGCATGGTTAGTGTAACTGAAGAAGCCTTAGAATCACATGAAAATTATTTAAATCTGTCCGTTTTCAAAATTTTTCTGTTTTTTCTGGGTTCTTTTACTTTATACTCATTTAAAAATCATTATGTTTCTATAGAAACAAAAGTCTTGGATTTTGAATCTGTAGACCAATTTTGAAAGAACTGGCACCTTTTACATTTTTTAAAATTAATTATGTATGCATGTGTGGGGCTGTGCGTATGAGTGCAGATTCCCAAGGTGGCCAGAAGAGGGCACTGGATCTTATGGGGTTGGAGTTACAGGCTCTCTTGAGTCATCTGACATGGCAGCTGGGAACTGAACTCTGGTTTTCTGAAAGAGCAGCAAGCTCTTAACTGAGCCATTTTTTCAGCCTTAAAAATTGACATCTTAATGAGATTGAGGTTTCTAAATAGAGCATGGCTTGTCCTTAGGTTTTTACTTTTTTTCTGAAATATTCTACTTTTTGGTGTATTATTTTTGGGGGTTGTTATATAGTATTTGTAAAAATTTTTTAGCATGATAGAATATTCATATCAAAACTTAGCACCTTAAGTATATAGTTGGCATAAACATAACAGTTTCTTTCTGTAATCACTACAATTTTTGAATGTTTTTATTATTATAAAGTTTCTGCACACATTAAACAGTAAGTTGCTGTTATTGCCTCTCTCAAACCCTGAATGTCTGTCTTTTCCCGTCTTAATGAGTTTGCCTGTTCAAGATGCCTGCTGTGAGCAGAACCATGCAGCGTTTGTCTTTTTGTAGTTGTGATTCCATGGTCCCTCTGATGGGGTGTCAGAACTGCCCTTCTTTGTAAGACTGTTTCGTTGTGCCTAGCAAACACAGTTGGCTTGCCCAGTCATCTGCTGGTGGATGCCTGGACTGTGTCACATCTGACTCTAGTCAGTAATGCTGCTGTGAAGACTGATGTGGGTGTTTGAGTCCCTGCTTTTAATTGTTTAGATGCATACCTAGGGGTGACATTGCTGGATGACGTTGTTTAACATTTCAAGGAATCATCAAACGCCTTTCCAGAGCAGCTGTGTCCTTTTTGTGTTCCTGCGAGGAACATAAATAAGAGTCCAGGCCTTCCGCATCCGGGCTAACTCTTTATCCCACCGTGCCTTTCGGATAATAGGTTATGCTAGTGGATGTGAAATAATGTCTCATTGTAGTTTAGATTGTGTTTCCCAAATGTCTAGTCACGGTAGAACATCTTTTCATGTGCCTATTGGCCATTTATTACTGTCTGTGGAGTAATGTCTATTCAAGTCTTTTGCCTTTTTAAAAACAATTAGGTAGGAGTGTGTGTTGACTGTAGGCATTCCCTCCCTCCCATCCTAAACCTAGGTCCCCCAGCATACTAAGCACATCTTTAACTACTGAGCTCCAGCCCTTCTGCCTCAGCCTCCCAAATGCTGGGATGCAGAGGGTCACCACCTGGACAGGCTTGAACACTGATTTAGGTTTAAGATAAAAAAAATTACAGAGAAATGCTATTTTTCTTTCTGAGAGTTTCGGGAGCTAAGAATGCAATCACTAGTCCAAGGGTTGTCATAGCAAAATGAGGATCAGTGCCATATATGTGCAGGTTAAAGCCCACGTGAAGGGGTGAAAAGTGTAGAAAGGTCTATGTCAGGGCTTGGTGGGAAGACTGGTGTGTGTGGTTGGAGTCCAGGGAGAGGAGGAGGAATGGCCCAGAACAAGCAGAAGCAGACAGGCAGTACTTGAGAGCTTCCCAACTCATGTGGTGGTTACGTGAGTGTGTTCAACTTCATGAGAGCATGTTGACGGCACATAGTACTTTTTTACTTAGCAGTACATGTATTTCAATAAAAAAATTTGAGAGAGTTGAGACATTCATAGATAAATAATGGAAAAATGTTATTGTAGGAACCAAGTTTTAATAACTTCTGTTATTGGTGTGTCAGTATTTATTTCTGACGTTGCTTCATTGACCTTCTATAAAACTATTAAGAGAAATTGACAAAATTTGTTGTTTTGTTGGAAACAAAGCCAAGGTATCCCAGGAAATAGAGTGGATTACATCCCAAACACAGTTTCCCCTCCCTCCTCTCCTCCAAGTCCCACCCCACCCACATCCACTCTTCCTCCAAACCCACTCCTTTCCCTTCCTAAAAGGGCAGGCATGACTCCACTTCTTATTTATTTTGTCTGTGTACATGTGGAGGTCAGACGACATCTTGTCTACCCTCTAATCCCCAGGGTTCACATTTGGATGCCAGGCTTGGCAGCAAGCACCTTTCCTCAAATTCATTTTTAATATATGCTTTGAAATGTGAATAATGTTACTTCAAATCCTGTTTCATAGTCATAAAATAGTTCTTTGTATTCTTAAGAAATAAAGTCTTTGTTTCTCCTTACTTTTTATAAAAGAACTGTTTAGAACAATCACATGCTTTTTAGTGTGGTTTGTTTGAGTTTATTCTTTAAAATTTCTCTCTCTGCCCTTTTGAGTTTTTGCTTTATATAAATCTTCTGTGATATTTTCTGAGCAACATGGTATTTTCTATGTGAGTTCTTTGATTTTGTTCTCTTGAGACTTGGGTGTCATGTAGTTAGAGACTTCAGACTTGTTCTGCAGCCTGTCTGGATATGAGGTCCTGATCTCCTGCCTCTACCTCCTGAGTGCTGCGATCACAGGCTCTAGGCCACCACGCCTGGCTTTGTAGTTTCTTCTCCTAGTCTTTTCAGAAAGCAACATCATTTAAGTTTTTAATATGGCAAGCAAAATCGATATGTGTAAGATACAAATAAAAGCCTGTCTACTCAGTCTGTTTCTTCCGGTGAACCTTGCCATTTTGTTAGCAGGAATTTTGAGAGGGTGAGGGAGGGAGAGAGAGAACACATGCCAGAGGTCAACCTCAGGTGTCCTTTCTCGAGAGCTAGCAACACTGTTTTGTTTGTTTCCTTAAATGTTAGGTTGTTGTTGCTGTTGTTGAGACGGTGCCTTTGTGTAACCCTGGGTGGCCTGGAGCTCCCTGTGTAGACCAGGCTGGCCTTAAACTAACAGAGATTCACTGTCCTCTACTTGTTGAGTTCTAGAATTAAAGGCATTCACTACCACACCTGGCTAATCTTGTTTCATAAAGGTTTTCTCCCTGAAACCCATCTAGTAGTCTAGGTTGGCTGGTCAGCAAGCCCCAGGGACCCACCCGTTTCTGTTTCTCCAGCGCTGAGACTCCGGATGTGCCAGGGTTCTAGGGATCAGAATAAGGTCTTGTGCTCACTAGGCAAACAATTCACTGACTAAGCAGTGTCCCCAGACCAGGTGTGTATTGCGTGGTTGTTTGGCATGTCTGTGCATCCCATGCATGCAGTGCTTCTGGAGGTCAGAAAAGAGTGTTCTAACCTCCTGCGACTGGAGTTAGAGATGGCTGTGAGCTGCCATGTGCTCTTATCCACAGAGCCATCTCTAGCCCCTCCATCCTTTTAGATACAGGGTTTCTTACTGAACCTAAAGCTCACCCCACAGGCTAGGTTGCCAGGATGGTGAACTCCCAGGATCCTCCTGTTTCTCCTCAGTGCTGCTGGGATTACAGGTGTATGCTACTACTCCTGGCCTTGTCTGTGGTGCTGGGGATCTGAATTCAAGTCCTCATGCTTGCAAAGTGAGCACTCCATCCAGAGAATTCCTTCTTATGTTCAGTTGAACCTGGATTTTAAAAAAAAGTCCTTAATTCATTTGTTGAGAGCATATTAGCCAGTAAAAATTTTACATGAAAGAAAGCTAGAATTTGAGAAATGTCTGTATACTGTGTAAATTACAAGACTATTTTCTCTTTCAGATTTTACATGGGATTGTGCCATCCCATCCACTGATGTTAGAATTCCATATGATGCTTAGGAAATCAGGTAAAACTGTGTTTTATCCTCATTTGTGCATATAGACTAGATGAGGGCCAGCGGCTGTGATCCAGGGGTCACTTCCACTCACCGCCTGTTTTCACAAGCTGCAGTCACTGGCCCTCCGTGCCTCCTGGGGTGCTGGTGGTTGCTTTGCTTTATGACTGTAGAACCTGTCTCTGCAGTGAGAGTCCATATCCACAGCTCACAGCTTAAAATGCTTGGTGTCCCAGCCCAATGGAGAGACTTGGGAAGTAGGAAGACATCTTGTTAACCCCTTGAGTGCTGCAGTGCAGTACAGTAAAGAACATATGTCTTAGAAGGAAGTCAACTTGTTTAAGCCAATTGCTACAAAGTCTGTAGGTCCCAACCTGTAGATACTAAAAATGCCAAATAGAGTAGGAGGTATTTAGAGGGGTGTAACCTGAGAAGAGGCTCACCACTCATGTCCCATGTCCTTAACCTTCATCTCAGCACTGCACAGTGAGCATAATGAATTGTTCTAGACACTTAACCAGCCAGAAGGCTTGCAGTTCATAATGCTTCAGTAACACGATGTAGCTTCTTGGCTCTGAGCACTTCTCCAGTACCTTCTGTAAGCTTGGGCTCTTGTGACCGTTGCAGAGACAGAAGAACACCAGAAGCTGGGCTTGGGCGTATTATTTGAATTCCTTGATTTTGCTGGATGCACTAAGAACATAACTGCCTGGAAATACTTGGCAAAGTATCTGAAGCAGACATTAATGGAGTAAGTGAGAAACAGTATTTATCAATGGTTCAACATAAATAATTGTAGCACAAATAATATAAACCTAGATACTGGGTTCAAGCTGAAGATCAGAAAAGCAAAGCAGCCAACCACTAGAGAGACATTTTACCTCTACCAAGTCTTTAGACCAAGGGGGCAAGATTCTGTCTCCCTGAATCCTCAGACTCCACACTGTACTGAATTTCTGTCTCTTCCCCTTTATATTTCTCTCTCTGCTCAACCATATCACTCCTGTCTCTACCTCCCTAGTGCTGGGGTTAAAGGCTTGTGATCCCAAGTGCTGGGATCACCTTTGTGTGAGCTCTGTTTCTCTTTTGGACAGATTGAGTCAGGGCGGCCTTGAACTCACAGTTATCCGACTGCCTCTGTCTCTGGAGTCCTGGGATTAAAGGTGTGTGCCACCACTCCCTAGCCTGTATGGCTGACTCGTGTGGCTGCTTTGCCGTCTGGTCTTCAGGTAAACTTCATTTTTTAAAACACCAATAATTTACCTCTATGCGTAATAGTCACCACATTTTAAGTGTTGCTTTTAACATTTCTAACTTAATGGTTTGCATTTCCTGTATAGAATCTTAGCTCTTTTTTTCTGAGTATCAGAAGCTAGTAAATACAAACTCATAAGCCTAACACACAGAAATTCTATGCATATATTTCATGTTAGCAAAATCAGCGCCACATCTGAAAGCACATCTTAGCATGTCTGATGCTGCACCTGCCATGCATATTGTCAGCACTGCATTCTGTGTAAGAGAAGAGGCACAGCCCTGCTCACAGGTATTCTGTATGTGAGAAGAGAGGCTTCCCAGAGTTAAGCTTCACTTGAACGTTATGTCCCTTTTGGGTGGTGAGGAAATCCTGTGTTTGAGAATACTTGCTTCGGGCATAGAACTGACTTTACTCTGTGCTTGCTACTCTGATTGGTGGTGTGAACCTGGAGCCCAGGGCCCAAAAGTGAAGCAGAAGAAAGTCTCATGTAGTGAGACTCTGAATAAAGTTACCTGAGTAAGGTGTCCGAGCACAGGGACAGGACACATTTGGAGAAACATTTTTCCGTAGGGGCATGTGACTAGCAACAGCTGAAGTAAACTCACTCTTGTGTGCTATACCCGGTGGGGCCCGGTGGGGCCTGGTGGGGCACGGAAACACAGTCCAGAAACAATTCCATGTTTTTGAAGAAACTGATGTCACAAGACTCGTCTTGTTTTCTTGGAATTTCTCACAAGCACTGAGAACTCCCACACCACTTCATTCTGGGACCAGGTTCCAACAGTGTTTCGATAATCCTCCGACAATCCTGAAGACAGAAGAAGGCTGAAACTAGGTGGATTTTACAGAGAAGTCTTAAGACTTTCATTTATTTATTTATTTTCTTAAAAAGCTCTGGTAGCAGAGAAGTCAAAGGTGAAGGCGCCAGCAGATTTGTTCTTGCTGTTGCCTCATATGGTGAAGGACCCGAGTCAGCTGCTGCCTTGACTCTTAAGCACCGGTCCAGTTTGTGACTCAGCTCAGGTCTGGGCCCAGTGCTTGACCTTGTTGGAATGGCCACTGCACTTCAGCACGTGGGGCCTGTGAAGAGCGTGTTCACACTATGGCAGTGTGATTTGTTGGCACACTCACCGTTGGTCACTTCACAGATCTGAAGTACCGTTTAATCCCTACTAGGCCATAGGGTTTCTGAAGGCCAAGTGACATATTCTTCACATGTTGGATCCAGCAGGTTCGCCGCAGGGACCGCCACAGGTGTTAATACACATTTACCCAAGTTGCCGGTGGGCACTTAGTTTGCTTGGTTCACCTTCAAGCTCATGTTTGTATGTTTTTGTAGTGATGGCATCTGAATTGGCATAGTAACTTTGGTAACATTTAATTTTATCTAAGATTGTACCGTTCCTTTTAGGTGGTTATGATAGTAACTGTTGCTATGTGGCGCACTCTGTGCAAGGCGCTTTATGGGGATCTGCTGTGCTCTTGAACTAGAAAATAGCCTCTTCCACCATCAAAGGATTGAGGCTCAGAAAGGTGGGCAGCCTGCTCAGGATCATACAATTGGAGATGGGGGAGCTGAGATTTCAGTCCAGGATTTTATCTCAGTGTCCGTGCTGCTGAGCACTCTGCTGTAAGGCGTCGGCTGTGAAGTGGAAATGGGATGTGCAGACCAAAAAGAATAAACATGGGCCTGCCTCCTGCTTCTGTCCTGACCATGCTCAGAAGTCAGCCCGGGCACTTCTCCCGTGTTGTCTTAGAGATGCGCATGATCAGCTCCGATGACAGCGTTCCACTTCACTGACTTCTTTTCTCGTGTTTCCTTCCAGAAGTCATCCGGCGTGGGTCGAAGAAGAGTGGAAATCTAGGAGAAACTGGTGGCCGGCCTTTCACTTCAGCTTCTTTTGGGCAAAGAGCGACTGGAAGGCAGATGCTGACTTAGCTTATGAGAAAGCTTTTGTAGCGGGAATCCTTTTAGGAAAAGGTTTGTGGTTCTCTTCTCTGTGGTTTTGTGTTTGTTTGGATGTAGCTTGTTTATTTATTTATTTTTAATTTTTTTATTTATTTATATTTTTTGTTTTTCGAGACAGTTTCTCTGTAGCTTTGGAGCCTGTCCTGGAACTAGCTCTTGTAGACTAGGCTGGCCTCGAACTCACAGAGTTCTGCCTCCAGAGTGCTGGGATTAAAGGTGTGCGCCACTACCACCCGGCGTAGCTTTCGGCTAGCTCTGAAGCTAGAAAGTGGGCCCTGTTGCTCATCTTGTCTGGTATGATGCCTCAGGGGTATAGATGCTTGAGATATGACTGGAACAAAAGTGTGAGCCCTGAGCAGGATCGTGATAAGAGCCTATGCGGGATCTTACATACTCTGTGGTTGGCTTCCACATCCTGACTTGAGTTCGGGGCTTAAAATACACTGTGCAGGCTAGACACACTATTGGGCCAATACACTATTGGGCTAGACTATAAGGTTTGCTTGTGACATCCCAAAAAGTACAATTCTCTTGACTGACCTCGGTGTCTTTATTAGCATCATGTTATATTTTCTCTCTTGTAAGGAATGAACATCCCCACCCCTCGAAAGAATACCACCTGTGAACAGCGAATCTTTTAAAAAGAGGAAACTGATCTTTTATTATGGGATATTTTGTCCAGTGAAATGCGTACCTGCTCTGCACCACTGAAACATGAGCAGTGGAACATTCTAGTAAACTGCCATGAAGTATGTCTAGAGGTAGGGAAGGAGTGCAGTAGTGAGCACCGGAGAGCCCTGTGCTGAGAGCTCCAGTGTTCGCCTTTGTGGCTTGTAGCCCCGTGCAGTGAGCTCCTGAGGCCATATGCGGTGCTGAGAGGGCGTCTCTCGTCTCTGGTAGGGTGGAATCAGTGTGTTTCCTAATGTTACTAAGATGAGGAAAAGGTTGGGTTTGTGAGAAAAGGGGATTCATGAGAACAGAGTTGACAGATGCCATTTCTAAGAACACTGGCGATGGAACAGAAATGGGCTTGCCTCCAGCGCTTCCTTCCTGAACCCCGAGTGCAGTACAGTAAGACAGCTCAGGCAGCTGCGTCTGAGCTGCGTCTGAAGGTCAGGGCGGTTTCCAGTCCTCTTACTTGTCATTTAGGCCAAGCAGCAACCGTTGGTGGCTTCTGTGTGAAGTGCACGTTGTGAGCGTGGCTCTTTCCTTATTTGCTGACTGGGTTGTCAATACCAAGTGAACATCCCCTGGAGGGCTCTGACTTCTCAAGTGTTCTGAGAGTGAGACGCTTGGCTCTGCTTGAGAGTGGCGCCTTTCTCCTTCGGGGTTGGTGTGGCATTGAGCCGAGTTTGCTTCTTCTCTGGCCACCATCATTACATCCTCACATTCCATCTTGGTCGACTTCTGCTTTGTCTTAGAATGGCTGTGGCGGCTGTCCTTCATCCCATGCTGTGTGAGGCCCTTCCTCAGTTAGCAACCCAGCTGCCTTCCTGCCTAAGTTCTCTTCAAGTTTATGCAGTTATTTAGTGTAGGACAGCGTGAAATTCTTTCCAGTTTTCTATATAGGTAAAAGCAGAAATCTGGCTGTATTTAACTTCTACTATAAAATAGTATATTTATGAATATAAATTCATGCCTTACTTCCAGATACCAGGAGGCTGTTGTGGGAGGATCATTTGAGCTCAGGAATTATATGAAAACCTGGACGACACGGCTAGATCCTGTCTCAGAATAAACGCACAGATTATTTTAGTAACGCCGCAGTCACTATTAGTCCGCACCGCTAGCGTACTGTCCTCGGGGATGGCAGAGAGGCTCTATAGTTAGGGGATATGACCTAGCATTTTCGTAGGAGAGATAGATGTATGGCAGCTGAGGATATAATAAAATCCTTACGTGACTTTAGCCAGAAAGCTGAGATAGGAATGTTATTTCTGTTTTTTAAACAGAAAAAAGTGTTTGTTTAAGGGAGAGCGTAGCTCTCGAGTAGTTCCTTTTGCATTGGTATGTGGGATATAAATGAGTTGACTTTCATATCCTTAGTGTTCAGGAACTGAAGCAAAAGTAAAAAATGTAGAAGTGTACTTAATTGAGAAATATTAAAACTTTTTTATTTTGCTTATTTTTTAGGTTGTAGATATTTTCGGTATATTTTGAAACAAGATCATAAAACCTTGAAGAAGAAAATTAAGCGGATGAAGAAGTCTGTGAAAAAATACAGTATTGTAAATCCAGGTGTTCGCACCTAGATGATTAGCTGCACAATGTAGTGCTCTGTGGTTATTGAATGTCAGTGTTTCATGTTTTAAGATGGTTTTTCAAGTTATTATAAGTGTGTGTATACATGCTTGACATGTCAGCCATGTCGTGTCCTTCCTCAGGAGCCTTGCTTTGAGACAGGTCTCTCACTGAGACCCGGCACTCACCTTTTAGGCTGGTTGACCAGTGTGTCCCAGGGATTCTTCTTAGCTCTGGGATTGTAATTGTAATTTATTCATTCATTCATTTGTGTGTGTGTATGTGTGTGTGTGTGTGTATGTGTGTGTATGCGTGTGTATGCGTGTGCAGATGACTGGGCATGAGTGTGGTGGAGAATGACTTGCAGGAGTGGTTGCCTCCTTGCTCCATGTAGGTCTCAGGGACCAACTGTGGCAGTAAGACTGACAAGTGACCCTGTCCACTGAATGGATCTTGTCAGCCCTGTGCACAGCTCCCGTGTGGGTACTGTGTTCAACTCGTGTCTTAGTGGGCTACTTCCCCGGCCCTTTATTTAATTATTCTTTTAAATAATTTATTTTTATTTTGCATGCATTGCTGTTTTGCCTGCATACTTTTCTGTGTCAGATTCCCTGGAACTGGAGTTACAGACAGTCGTGAGCTGCCACATAGGTACTGGGAATTGAACCCGGGTCCTCTGGAAGAGCTGAGCCATCTCTCCAGCCCCCTATTTCTATGTTTTTTACATTTCATTTTATTCTCAGTTATAGTTAAAATAATTCCACTGCCTTTACTGTTTGTAAATGTATATATCTGTATTTTTTTTTGTAACATTACATGTATATTTTGCTTGTATTTTAATAAATAAAGCTTGCCTGAAAACCTTGACAGTAAAACAGCCCCACTGATCAGCCTTGTCGACCAGGCCGTGGTAACACACACCTTTAATCCCAGTAGCCACACTAATTTGCCATAGTAATGGGATAGCAGCCCTAGAGAGGAATATAAGACGGGAGGAGACAGTTCTCAAACACAGTCTCATTATGATTTTTGGACTAAGGTCAAGGTAAGAGCCAGTGGCTTGGCTGCTTTGCTTTTCGGATCTTCAGGTTGAAACCCCATTTCTGTCTCTGAGTTTTCATTACTCGTGCTTCAGCAGGGTGATTCTTACACTTTATTTTAGCCAGAAAATTGAAAAAGGAATGTTTTTGTTTTTTTCCACAGAAAACAAGTGTTTGTTTAGTGGAAGAACATAACTCTAGAATAGTTAGATTTGTAGCTGGACTGCCTGTGGTGTCTGTAATAAATAGATTCGAACTGGCCCGTGTTCCGCTTACCCCCATGAAGATGGTACTAGAGATGAGACCTGTTGAGGAGGTAGAGAGGCTTAGGAAAGGGCTGCTCCTTTCTCTGTTGGTTTTTAGCAGAGCAGGTGGCCCACGTATCTCTCCTGGGAGGGAACTTGGACTCCGGAGGACTGACGTGGGTCAGAGTGGTAGAAGAGGCTGAGGGGCACGGTGATCCAGGATATGCTTTGGAAGATAAAAAAAAGGGAGAGATGATTCCTCTCCCTTTTCTCTTGGGAATGAGAATATAACAGTAGAATCTATCTCGACCGGTAAAATAATACCCCAGATACAAAGTAAGCCCAGTGGGACAACTTGGCCAGAGACTAGAGACCTGTTCCAGGAACATAGGCTGGCTCTGTAGCCTATTGTGCTGCTGATAAATGCTTCTTCAGAATGGCCTTGGCTCTTGTGCGGCTATTGTTGAAGGGACTAGTCTTTGGGTTCCAGGAAGTTCAGTGTTCAGGTGACAAACCACTTTTCCCCATTGGCCTATAGCACTACCAGTCTTAAGTCATGTGCACTAAAACTGGGCAAGTTATGCTTTGTCAATAATTTTTATCCCAGTAGTATTTTGTGCATGGCGGCGGGGAGGGGGGATACTCATCAACAGAGGGCTTCATAATGGACAAATGAAACAAGGGGACATTTCATAGCACCACTTGTAGACCAAGTCGGAGTTAGCACACTAAAAGGACCAGCTTTACTGAGAGGGATGGGCGGCCCGCATGGTAGTTCTGTGTAAGCAGCACACTACGAATAAATGCCCAGACAAAGCTCTGAGCACAAGCTGAGATTAGCAGGGCGCCACTGCTGGAGCCTTAAGGTTTGTGCATCCCAATGTTTTTTGGGACCGTGAACGGGAGGTAAAGTAGCTGTGCTCCTTGTATTCTATGCAAAGCTTTACACTTTATTTTGTTTTTTAAACAAGGTCTGCATGTGTAGACACAGCTGACCTTAAACTCACATTTCTCTGCTTCAGCTATTACGTGTGTATTCTACAACATAGAGCTTTTCTTTCTAGAATTTTCTTACCATGTTCAGTTTGAGCACTGTGATTTAGCACCTGTGGAAATTATTTTAGGTCCACCGAACCTAAAGCCAGCACTGTGAATAATGACACCAGCCAGGTTTTGCTAGGCATTTTGAAACTCCCATTTCTTCATGCCACCACATTTCTGTGCTATCCCTTCTAAGAAGGTGAAGTTGGAGCTCAGAGATGAAGTACCTCTCCAGGGTTAGGCTCCAACCATATCAGAGAGGTTCTGAAGATAACGTGCAGACCCTACCTCTCTTGCCTCCCAGCCCTATATGAAGCACTGAGCTGGGTAGCTAGGATCAGAAGAGAGATGATTCACAGCCTTAAGGCCATTGACTCAAGCAAACTAGGTCTGTTCTGTCTCCCAGGCTTTTGGGAGATTCCCCTCTGTGCCCTAGGAGCCACCATACTACGTCTTACTAAACTATCACATTTAATTACTTTTGTAGTGCTTGCCTTACCCATTAGTGTGTTATCGAGGCATATACATCTTTATATTCCACCACCTAACAATGTCTGGTTTAGTAAATAATGAAGTAAATAAAAAATGTATGAAAATGACTGAGGGTCTCCACCCCCTGGAACAAGCTTATGCCAAAAATAGGGCCTTGAGAAACTGTTGGGTTAGTGCCTTGCTGTTCAATTGCTGTGAAGAGACATCTTGACCAAGGCAGCTTATTTAAAAAAGTATTTAATTAGGGGTCTCAGAGGTTTAGTTCATAATCATCATGGTAGGGACCATGGTGGCAGACAGTGAGGCGTGACATTGGAGCAGCAGCTGAGTTCTAGTTTTCCTTAGTTATGATAGAAGATAAATTATATATGGAACTTTAGACTCACAAAGAAATATTGTAACTAATTCTTGATACCTATTTTGTTATATGTAATTTTATTATGTTAAAGTTAAGACCTTTTTGTTTAGACAGAAAAGGGGAGATGATGTGAGATTCCCTTCTGTATGCTATGAATGTGTTTTATTACCATTGATTAATAAAGAAGCTGCTTTGGCCTATGGCAGGGCAGAATATTAGTAGGTAGAAAAACTAAAATGAATGCAAGGAGGAGGAAGACAGAGTCAGGGAGATACTTTTGTAGCTGCTGAAGGAGAAAGACGCCAGAACCTTAGCCACAGCCTCGTGGTGATATACAGATTAGTAGAAATGGGTTAATTTAAGATGTAAGAGCTAGCTAGGAATAATGCCTGAGCCATTGACCAAACAGCATTGTAATTAGTAGTTTTTGTGTGATTATTCGGGTCTAGGTGGCCGGGAAATGAATGTGCAGTCTCCATCAACAGCTGAGAGCTTGAATCTGGTCCATAAAAGTGGCAGAGAGCCAGAAACTAAGAGAAACTGGGTCTGATGAAATCTCAAACCCCTAAGTACCATGGAGTCAGACTTGGTGGGTCTTAAGTCGCAGCACATCTAAAACACTTGATATAATGGTTCGTTCCCTGTGTTCTGTAACAGTGGGTACCGTGAGAATGGTAGCCATTGAGTGGGTGCCATGGGGCCCGGTGTATGGATTTTCTCAGTAAGGGGTAATATTGGATAGTAGCATTTTAAAAAAATGATAGGCTGCTCAATGAGAGTCCCCACAAAAGATATGGAAAGTGTTTCAGATCGTCTTAAACTTGGAGAACGATGACTCCATGCGAGTTTACTCACGTCTTTCATCATGACTACCCTGAGTTCACAGATAACCTCCCCCATCAGGATGGCTGTGTTCAGTTAGTGTGCCTTGTAGCTAGCTGCCGCTGATACAAGTTTTTTTATATAAAGAACAATTAAAAATGATTTCTGAGTCTGGTAAATCATGGAACAAAATCCAAGCTATAATTGAGAATACCAGATTTTATTGCCATTTGGCCCCTGGTGGGAATCTTAGGTGCCTTACCGAACCTCTGTGGCACCGCAGGCTTTGTCTTCATGTGGTAATGGGGTGTATGCCTTCCCACCTCCGGGAATTATTTTGAAGATCAGGAGCTGTGGTGTGAGGACGTGCTCTGTGGGCTGGCGTGTAGGACATGTGCAGGGCTGCTCTCCATCATCAGAAACATCTGTTCACCTGCAGGCTTCGGGGAAGGAGCGTGGCATGAGAGACCGTCAGCCACAGGAAGACCGTGGTTCAGGAGATGACCTCAGCTGGAGACGTCTGTATAAATTAAAGAAGGCCATTATAGTGGGCCTTAATCCAAACTGTAAAAGTACAAGTGGGCACATACATGCACACAGGACAAAGGGCATCTGAACATGAAGGCAGCAGCTGGATTCATTCGCACAGCCGTCGCTACAGAAGATGGCTTGTGAACCACCACAAGCTGGAAGCGATGGCTGGGACTGATTCTCAGTCCTCGAAAGGAACAAGCCCTGCTGACGCCGTGACCTCATGGCCATCAGAACCGAGAGACAGTAGTCTTCTCGTGAGGCCTTTAAGTTTGAGTACCTTATACAGCAGTCCAGGCAAACGAACAATAATTTACAAATGTGTGTTTCAACTGGGTGCTGGCATGATTTCAGCCAGGTCCTATCGTGTAGGTCCAGACAGTTCTCCAGCTGAGTCTGCTTCTAATGGTTTGGCCGTGACGTAATCCCCGAGTTTCCCCAACACACAGTTCTTTTTTTTCCTGTGCTTTATCAAACCCCCCTAAACCCAGATGCTCAGATGTCTGCTGTCACCATTCCTCCCTGTGAGTCCTCCATGGTGCTGTCCTCCCTCTCTATTAATATAATCTGTCTTCCCTTATTGCACACTGTTTTTTCCCTCATCTTAGGGTTCTATGGCTGTGAAGAGACACCATGACCACGGCAACCCTTACAAAGGAAAACATTTAATTGTGGTGGCTTACAGTTCAGAGAGCCAGTCCATTATCATGGCAGCACACGTCAGTGTGCAGGCAGACATGGTGCTGGAGAGGTAGCTGCTGCATATCCATCTGCAGGCAGCAGGAAGTAGGCTGGATACTTGGAGTAGATTCAGCAGAGAAGAGTTCAAATCCCATCTTCCCAGTGACACACTTCCTTCAACAAGGCCACACCAAGGCCATGCCTCCTACTAGTGCCACTCCCTTTGTGGACCATTTTCTCTCAAACCACCAACACTCCTCCCTTCCTCCATCCTCCTATATAGTCCATATTATCCTCAAGCTGGTGATCCTCCTGCCTCAACTTCCCAGGTACTTGTTACAGTATACACTGTCTTATTAGTGTTACTTTGCCTGCATAAGGACACCTTGAATACGGTAATACTTACTTACTGATTTGACACTGAGGATCTGTTGAAAAATGACGTCGCATTATGTAATTTTTTTTCCGAAATGTGACATTAATGTGGAGTTTGTTTCAGGGTGTCCAGTGGCCTGCTGATCTTTCCTTACTAATCTCTGCAAGGACATTTCCTCAAACAGGAAAATCTCCATGTGTGTTTGTGGCCAAAGGAAAAAGAGCAGACGTAAATGTTAATAAACAATCGATAAATTGTCTCCAGGATGGTAGGTGCACACCCACTCACCCGGGCTCAGGTGTTTAAGAGGCCCTGGTGGCTGTGACTTCACTGGCCAATGTGGGGTCAAGGGTTCCTGCTCCCATCCAAGCTTTCCATAGCAATGACAAGGACTGACTGACCTTTGAGTAAACAGCCCTGTGGAAATAGCACAGTCACCGTGAATCACACTCCAGCCTATGCTTTCAGAAACAGGTGAAGCATTTGCCTCAGCGATGGTTTGTCTGCCCAGCATGTGTGAGAGCCTGGGTTTCATCCTCAGCTCTGCCAGCAATCTTCCTGCCTCTGCCTCCTATGTATTAACATGACAGTTGTACACAACGCAGCCTAGATTGTGAGGTGCTAGGAATCAAACCCAGAACCTTATGTATGCTAGGGAAGCACTCTACCAACCAAGCCACGTTCCAGTCTGTGATATTTGTTTCAGCAGAGTGAAGTGACTGAGACACCCTCCCTTTACTGTCTGGGTTTTTCTTGCTGGGCACGCAAGAGTTATGACATTTTCTCCCATCCAAGCCATCTAAGCACACACAAGACAGTCCTCCCCGATGCGTTCCCAGACAGTCCTTCCTGATGTGTTCCCAGACCCACACCAGTCGTCTTGTGTCCTTGTACACTGCAGGAACCTGGATGCTTGCCTTGCAGAGTTTGCTGTTGGGACTCTGTAATGTGTGATGTGCTGTTCAGCCTGCAGAGAAACAGTAAACAAGTGGGAATTTCCTGGCCTGCCTCCAACATGGCAGGAATTCTGTGCAGGTTGAGGAATCACGGCACCTCAGTCATTGGCACCATCACACCTTTTGACTGAGCACCCATGGGCCCCAAGCACTTGGCACTAGGACTGAGACTTACTCCAGCTTTGCTTTTAGACGGAACTGACAGGAGTTCAACATTAGTGAGTTGACTTCTCACTAATGTCACTTGGAATGCTTAGTCACCAGTCCGGAGAAAGGACTCCTGAGGAACCACCTCGGTGAACTTGGGGCAGGATGTGAGGGAGAGAAAGAAGGAAGAGAAATTGGGAGCGGGGGAGGGAACTTGGGCAGACTGGTCAGGCCAACCCAGGAAGGCAGCAGCAGAGAATTCCCAGGGCCCAAATGCTGGGAAAACATACGAGCCCACACACTGTTCCTGGTCGTCTGGCCCCATGGCTCTCTCCTGGTATTTTCTACCTGGGCCTCACCTTCTTGGGCTGGGTGGGCCTGCTGCAGGGACACCCCCAGTGCTTGGATTATGGGCCACCCTTCCGTCCTCCTCTCCACCTGGAGTTCTGCTCGGACTATAACTCCTTCGGCTGCTGCGATCAACGCAAGGACCACCGTATTGCTGCCCGGTACTGGGACATCATGAAGTACTTTGACCTGAAGGGCCACGAGTTGTGTGGAGGTTACATTAAAGACATCCTTTGCCAGGTGGGTCTGAGCATAATCCTATGAGGAGGAGAGAGAGAGCCAGTTTGGAAAAAGTGCTTTTTGGCTTTAAAGTGCTGGGCTGAGAGGCAGGTCCTGGTGTAGGATGCTCCTGTCAGGTGCCTCGCTGGAGAGCTGGAGGCAAGGGTGTATGCTGGTTCTTCAGACTCTTCCCTCTGAGGTCTTTTCCCCGGACAGCAGAAGTCTGAAAGGCATTCATGGGGTTCTCAGGGCAGCTGCTCTGTCCTGCCGACAGGAACCAGAGAGCTGGGCACAGCATCCCTGTGGCATTTATGGACCATGCGAGGGAGAGGGTAGTGGCCCCTGCCAGGGTGGGTGTTTTGCAAAGGGAGCCTCTGTTATGGCAGTGGCTGTGGCGGGGATTGGGGTCCTGTCTGCAGAACTCCTGGGCTGCATGGAGAGAGCCTCAAGTTGCTGGGAGGCAGTGACTCAGAGTTTCTCTGCTCCAGGCTCGCCAGCAGCCAAAATCCACACTTGGGAGGCATCACCTGAGGTGAGCTTGAAAACACGAAGGTACAGACTGCACATACCCACGCCAGTCTGTGGGGAGAGGGTGCCAACGGGAGAAGCTGCTTAAGAAAGCAGCACTCTTGTGATGTGACAGAAGTCCAGGCTGACCTTTGACCCGACACCTTCCAGAGTTAGTGCTATTGTGTGGCTGTCCCAGGGCTTCTTTTCCACCATGGTCACTGTTCCCAAGAATACTGGCTTCCCCAGCTCTAGGCATGGGCACAGGCAACCCAGGCAGGCATCACAGTACAGTTTGAGTCCGAGGGCAGCCAGCTTGATGGCATTGCCCTGGGGCTGTGCTCTCATGTCAGGGCACTACCTTAGCTGCTTCCTGGAGATTTGATTCTGAGATGAGCATGCGGGGTGTGCGTGCGTGCGTGCGTGTGTGTGTGTGTGTGTGTGTGTGTGTGCATACGCACGCGCATGTTCTCGTGTGTGGTGTGGTATATGTGTGTGTCTTTACTGAAGCTCAATGTCAGGTGTCTTCCTCTGTCACCCTTCACCTTATGTTTTGGGGCAGGGTCTCTTGTAAAACTGGGACTCCCTCACTCAGGTAGGTGACTGGCCGGTGAGCTCCTGCTGTCCTCTGCCTCTGGTCCAGTGCTGGGGTTGCAGGCACAGTCGCCAGGCTGGGATCCAAACGCAGGTGCTCATGCAAGCAAAGCCCTTCAGTCACCGAGCCGCCTCCTCAGCCCCAGGAGCTGGGCTTGACAAGTAGCATGGAAACTTTATTTCCGAGATGTCCTCTACCAAAAACCTCCCTCCTTCCCGTGTCCTCTCCGATTCAGGAGCCACATTCAGCTGCTTCCTTGTTTCATGGACTTGAAGAATAATATAACCTTATTTGTGTCTATTTGCTATTTCCCCCCACTCTCTGTGGTCTACATCTGAAAGCGATTCTGCAGGTGGTTATGACCCTTACCTTTCTGGAGTCCTGTTGGCTTCGGGTCTCAGGACCTCTTGATTGCATCACACCAGAGTAAAGCACCTGCATCGTGTCTGGCCCCTGTCTGCACTGGCTTTCTGAACTTCAGGAAGTACGAGCTCCATGAGAAGCTGACTGTGTACTTTGCTCACCATTGCTCGTGGGGCCTGCACACAGGAGAGGTGCAAGGGGGCGGTCACACAGCAGAGAATCTTCTGAGTCCGAGTTTCTCCCCCTGACTGGTTTGGTTCCTGAGATGAGTGAAAACAGCCTGACCAGCTCCAAATGGCTGCCTTAGCATGCCGGGGTGACGGTTATGTTTCCGCTGCCAGCTCTGTTCCCCAGTATTTCACATTTCACCCTTATTTTCCCCTTTCTCTCTTTGCTTCAGTCTCCAAGAGTGGGTGGCTGGGAGTGAGCTGATGCTAGAGAGTGGGTCAGTTTGGTTTGTGTAGCTCCTCTGACAAGCAGCCTTGGATGGACCAGACAGTCCAGGGGAGACACTGTAAATCTCTGGGTTTCTTGGTTTCCCTCTGCCTGTTTGCCAAGGGCTTGCTCTACGGTGTCTGATCAGGGGAAATAAGCGAGAACAACAGAACTCTAATAAACATTAAAAGTGCTTCTGCCCCTCTGTAAAGGGACCAATGAGCCCCAACACACAGGTTGCTCGGATTGAAAACTGCCATTGGTCTGGGACGCTTGGCTGACAGGATCACGTTTATCCTGCTGTCCTAAATTCTGTCCTTTAAACCTTATGTCTTAGTTACCTTTCCATTGTTGTGATAATATGCCATGGCCAAGGCAACATATAAAAGAAAGCATTTAATATGGCTTATGGTTTCAGAGGGTTAGAGCCCATGAAGGCAGAGTGAAGGGAACAACAAGAGATCACATCTTGATCCATCTTGCAGAATGAGAGCACTGGAAAGTCCCTGAGAGTTTTGAAACCCCAAAGCCCACTCCCCATGACACACCTCCTCCAAGGCCACAACCCCACTAACTGGGGACCAAATATTCAAATCTATGCACCAATAGGGGCCATTCTCATTCAAACCTCCGCAACTGCCGTTTTTACTTCCCAAGTCTCCCTTGCCTCTGTTTGCCATCATGACAGGGAGCTGATGGTAGTCCCACAGAATTCTGTTGTCTCTGTGATTTCAATCAGCAGATCCTCCTTTGGACATTTAAGCCTTATATGCTTTTGTATAGGGCAGTCTCTGAAAAGCCAGAATTGACAGAGAAACTTCCAGCATAGTTCCCTGCCTATGTCAAACACAAATGTTAAATACATGAAGGAATGACTAAACATCTTAATCTCTGGGCGAGGTCTTTGATTATATAAGTTTGACTTGTTAACTATTTCAAACGCGAAGGAACATGGAATGGGAAATACTAATGCTAGGTGTCTGGGTTTAATAGACATGGATCTTGTGCCCTGTTGTTTCACCTTGAGAAAAAGAAGAGTTGAAAAATGTAATCCCATTGTTTTTAAAAAATATTCTTTTGGGGATGGAGAGGTTTTCGCTGAGTGGTTAAGAGCATTTGCCGCTCTTGCGAAAGACTAGCGTTTGGTTCCTGGCACCCATATGGTGGCTCGCAGTCACCTGCATCTCCAGTTTTACGGGGTCTGATGCCCTCTTTGGGCCTCTGCAGATGCCTGCATACACGGTGCACATAAACTCATAAGACATCCACATATGCACATAACTAAAGAGCTTTAAAGCTATTCATCCATCTAATATAATTTTTGTTTGTTTGCTTCATTTGGTTAGTTTTTTCAAGACAAGGTTTCTCAGTAGCTATGGAGTCAGTCCTGAAATTTGCTCTGTAGACCAGGCTGGCCTCGAACTCACAGAGATTCATCGGTCTCTCCCTCCTGAGTGTTGGGATTAAAGGCGTGTGCCACCACCACCCGGCTAATATAATCTTAAGAGTCAAGAACTAAGCTATTGAGAGCTATGGTGACCTGTGCAAGATCTAACTAGCAGCCTGTCACGGAATGGGGAGGGATTCATGGGATCCCACCCCCTGAGGATTTATGTCCTAGGATATCTAGTTAATGGTTGGTCAGAGAGGGAGAGATGTTTTCTTCAGTGGTATAACCACAGATAAGCTGCCTTGCTATTGTAAACAAACTGTCTCACCCATTGTCCTGTAAACAGACTTAACAAAACTCATCACACACACACACACGCACACACACACACACACAAAGTAGATGGGGTGCTATTTGAAAAGAAGGAGATCAGCGAGAATGGGAAGGAGACAGAAAAGGTAATGTTATGAATTATAAATGTGACATAAAAATGTCATGATGAAACCCATTATTATATAAAATTGAATATATGCTAATAAATATTTTGGAAAAGAACTAAGCTGCTGAAATGCTAGGTACAGTGTCGTGAATATATGAGGGTTTTTTCTCCAGGTGCATCAACTCTGTCAGAAAACTGGGTCCTAGAGAAATGATTAACAGCAATTTGTAGACAAATCTCAAGAATCCAGATTCTCTACTGGATCATTGCTCCTGTTTTTCTGCTTGCTCGAACTGAGATCAAGCTTCTGGTTCCTCTTCCAGGAGTGCTCTCCTTATGCGGCCCACCTCTACGATGCCGAGAACCCTCAGACGCCCCTCCGGAACCTTCCTGGCCTCTGCTCTGACTACTGCTCCGCCTTCCATCACAACTGCCACTCTGCCATCTCTCTGCTAACCAATGACCGCAGCCTCCAGGAGTCCCATGGAAAGGATGGCGCCCGCTTCTGCCACCTCCTCAACCTTCCTGACGAGGACTACTGCTTCCCCAATGTCCTGAGGAACAGTCAACTCAACCGCAACCTGGGCATGGTAGCTGAGGACCACCAGGGCTGCCTGCAGCTCTGCCTGGCCGAGGTAGCCAATGGGCTGAGGAACCCCGTGGCCATGGTCCATGCTGGGGATGGCACCCATCGCTTCTTTGTTGCTGAGCAGGTAGGCGTGGTGTGGGTCTACCTCCCTGATGGCAGTCGCCTGGAGCAACCCTTCCTGGACCTCAAGAGCATGGTGTTGACCACACCGTGGATTGGGGATGAGAGAGGATTCTTGGGGCTGGCTTTTCATCCCAAATTCCGCCGCAACCGCAAGTTGTACATTTATTATTCAAGCCTGGGCAAGAGGAAGGTGGAGAAAATCCGGATAAGTGAGATGAAGGTTTCTCTGTCTGACCCTAACAAAGTGGACCCCAAATCAGAGAGGTGAGACAATCTCATGAGAACCTGAAAGTGTGCTTCCAAATGATGCCCACCCACTCTCGGGGTGACAATGAAGGAATGGACCTGGGTTTTGATCACTAGCCTGAAATGTTAAGAAAACAGGCCGGACAGACGGCTCAGGGGCTAAGAGCAGTTGTTGCTCTTGCAGAGGACTTGAGTTCAGTTCCCAACACCCACACAGCAGCTCACAACCATCTGTAATTCTAGTTCTAGGGGTTACGATCTCCCCCTCCTGGCATCTGCTGGTACTGCATACAGGTGGCACAGAAAAGAAAACATACTTGCAAGGAAAGATTAATACACTTAAGAAATGTTGAGCAAAGAGTCAGTACTGATGGATGTGGACAACCTGGGTAAGTCTAGAGAGAAGCGTCCTTATGGGGTATAACCCTTGCCTGACCTGCCCTCGTTAGAGTCATGCTTGCTTGTGCTTCCTAAGGAGAAGCCAGGACTGGCAGCCAAAGGGAATTTTAAGGTGATTATAGATCATATATTAAACACAACAGTAGCCTCTAACTATTTGTGTGACCACTAGAAATCAAACCCTTTACCTTTAGTGTGGGATTTCTCACTTGCCTGGAAGCTATGGCCCAAGGCCATAAAGCTTTTCGTGCATGGGTAAATGATGCTGTAGTTTCATTCTGTGGCTGTGACGGGTCCCTTGAGCAACAAGTTAGAGGAGGGGAGGATTTATATGACTTACGCATCCAGACCACAGTCCCTCTCTGAAGAGGGGCAGGGCAGGACCTCAGGCAATAGCTTGAAGGTAGACCGGCTTGCTTTTCATGCAGCTTTACCTCCAACTGAGGAACTCATTCCACAGTCAATAAGTACTGCAGGAGCAATAGAGGATGCTGCTTGGTAGCTGGCTTATTCTCAGCAAGCTTCCTTACGCAGCCCAGGACCACCTGTCTAAGGATACCCACAGTGGGCTGTGTTCTCCCACGTCCATTAACAATCTAGAAAGTCTCCTATAGACATGCCCAGAAGGCAGTCCAAGGAGACAGTCACTCAACTGCGACTCTCCACACAGATGACTCTGTCATACTTTCCTGCTCACCAAGACAGATGAGACACTAGTTCTAGCTGGCTCCAAGGTCGTCTTTGTCTCTCCATCACTCCGTCTTCTCCCTTTCTTTCTCCTTCCTGCCTTGGCTCTTTTCCCATTATAGACAGACTAAAGGACTGGAAAGGACAGAATGACCTGCCACATTTGCCTTTCTAAGGAAGGAATGGGAAGTTCTGGTGGAGTAGCGTGAGTAAGGCAAACCCTGCAGAGGACTGGCTGTCACCCTGGCTGTGTCTCAGCTCGCGAGGTCACGGTCTGAGAGAAGAGAGAGTCACAAAGCTCTGGGGATGCAGGCTGCTTGCCTGACTTGTGCAAAGGTACTAGGCTCAATCTCTAGTAATGGAAAAAAAATAAAAGATTCACAAAGGAATTATACCAGGAAACATGGGGACCCTTATGGCCCCAATTCACCTCCTTTGTGGGCCTTGGAGACTGAAACCAGGTTCAGCTAACTTTTGCAGATCTTGATGGCTTGGGCCAAACAACTTCTGGTGTCTTGAGAACATGGGGCTTCAGCCTTGCCAACACCTAATGTATAGTTTCTTTTTCTCTTCCAGGGTCATCTTGGAGATAGATGAGCCAGCCTCAAACCACAATGGCGGACAGCTTCTTTTTGGCCTGGATGGCCATCTGTACATATTCACTGGGGATGGAGGGCAGGCTGGGGATCCCTTTGGCAAGTTTGGAAATGCTCAGAACAAGTAAGCAGGATGGAGGCTGTGGCTGTTGCTCCTTTTGAGAGTACCTCTGGGGCAGTGTTCTTTCTGCCAGAGTCTAACTCAGATCTAATCCCTT